CTTGCCTGATGCAAACTTGGTTTCCAGGGAGATGCTGGGACCAGAAGAGCCAGCCCCACCTCCCACTCCACTTCCCCTTTCCCCAAATCTGTGGGACCGCACTGTTCTCCTACCACGTGACAGTATTGTGTCATAGCAGCCCTTGTATACAAACAAGCCAGACTATTTAAATGTCACTGTGAGAATGATGCTGCCTGCTCTCATTTCCATATCTATTCAGACCACCACTCCTTTCTGGAGCTAGCCAGAAAAGTTTTTCTTCCTCTTCCCTAGCTCTCCATGCAGAGTAGAGAACCATATGCAAAGTTAAATCTTTGTTGTAGTAAAATGATGTAAGAGTCATCAAGTCCTGACAGAGAAGGAGAATTAGAATGACTATATAACTCATGGCATATGTTCATTCATCATTACATCGCAAATGTCGTATGTTCCTGGCCACCAAAAGCTACATTCTCTCAAAGGCTACAGATAAATTCTCCCAACTGCCAAACAATACAACAGCTTTCAGTCTTGGAGAGCTAAGGTACCCTCGGTGCTTTTAATCTTCAAAAGCAGGTCCCAGTTGAATAAGAAAACAATTCTATGTGAGCGGGGAGGGGGGGAGATGACCCAAAATGATGAACTGATCCCTCCCAGTACTAGTTCCCACTCATGTGAAATACGGATTAGGTCACAAATGAGATTATATGCAGCACCAAGCCCCACAGGCATGCTATGATTAAAGTTAAAGGAGTCCAGAAACGTCTCAAGTTGAGAAGTAAGGCTGAGTTGGGTTGAAATTTCCAACCCCTCCCTAAAGGCCTGGCAACTTGCTCCAAATCACAACTGAAACTGAGTTGAAGCAACATCTGTTTCTCCAGAAAGTGTTTGGCATTGCAGCGGAGAACTACAGATTAGAACAGATAAACACTCTTGTGGGTGGAGAAGCAAAGGGGATGGGGGAGACCAAGAAAATTAGAATCATCTACCTGCTAACATAGTCTTGTAACTCAATAACTACACAGGGGGGCGGGGGGGAGGGAAAGATGAAAAAGAAGAGAGGAAGGAGGAAGGAAAATAAATGGGGGACTTATTCTTCTTCTACAGGGAGTTGACACAACGTCAATGAACAAAACACTGCTACACTGGAGTTGAATATTCAGACAACCACCATTTGTTTAACGATTTAATGTTGGATTGTGTGCAAGAAGAGAGGAATTGAGCATTCTGCTTGGAGTTTTGTTAACAAAGACTATGCGTTAAACTTAAATTGTCAACACAGTATTGAGGAATAATTTTCTAAACCTTATTGGACCATCAGGATCACCTTATCAGTTGGTATTACTGGTTTTCCTCTGATGCCTAAATCTCTTTTAACTCAAGTCAGAATAACACACAACACCTACTTAACTTCTAGTCCAGGTATCTGGAGCTAATAAGGTAAGACAATAGAATTAGGTCAGTAGACAACTGAATTATATTTTTTACACTAAAAAACTCAGGGTTCTGAAGATTTTCTTCCAAAATCAGCTGCAGTTGTTATTAACAACAATAGAAACAACAACAATAATAGCAATAACAGTATTAATAAAGATAGCAGTGGTAATAGTAGCAGTACTATAGTAGTAATGGTAGTAGTGATATTAATAGCAGTAGTAATATAATGGCAATAATAATAACGATCACTACTTAAGCGGCACTTCCTAAATGCTGCGTACTATTCTAAGCATCTTAAATGTATTAACTTATTTCATTCTCACAGCACCCCTTGGAGGTAGGTAAGCTACTATTAGTACCCCTGTTTTACAGATGCTTTGAACAATATCTCTTTGTTATTTTTGTTGTTGTTAACGACTAGCGCTAGCTTTCAAAGAAACTATTTAGAACCAAAAGGAGAGGAAATACAGTCTGTCCAATGTCACACAGCTAGAAGGCAATACACCTGGGATTCCAACCCAGGCTGCCCAGCCCCAAAGCCTGACCTCTAACCGCTGTGCTGCACTCACTGCCCCTCTGCTTTGGAAGGCCTTCTAGAAAAGGAATGTGGAAGGAAATTAGGCCCCTGCCTGCTGGTAGCCAGAGTTAATACGTGAAGTTTGCGTTTCCTTCAGGAGTCTCCCCAAAGCCACATTAAGACACGTAGCCTGCTCCGACGGCTATAAAAAGTCGCTGGAAGTGTTATGGAACTGTTCCCACCTGGCCTGTGACCTCCGTCAGGGCTTTCACCTTTGCCAGCCAAGGCAGAAGCTGGGGGTGGGGTGCGATGGGGGCATGGTTCCCAGGCCACCGTTTCCTGCCCAGTAACACAGCCCTCAAACAGCCAAGACTGCAGGCTGAGAGAAATTCCTCACTAACAAGTTATCTCCTGGAGCTTGTTCCCTGAGCCTTTATTAAGAATGAACAGTTTTCTCACCAATCCATGACTCAACGAAGACCAGGGACTGAAGAGGAGAGAAAAACTGCAAAGTTTGTTTATTAACCTGCTGCGCCCAAGGGAACATTTTTCTGAAAGGGTGAAATTCCTGACTACTCAAAAGAAAAAGGAAGAAAAAAAAAAAAAAGGCTGTGGGAAATTTAATCACCAACTGAACAAAAGTGAAAAACAAAGCCCTACCAATGAGGATGTTGCCGAAGACAACGGGGCCCCTAAAGGAGATGCAATTGTCTCGAGATAACAGTCCCCCTGGGAACTCGGCTCACACTAAGTACTACATTATTGCTATATTAGCCGAGGAATCTTTGTTCACTGGGCAACTGCGCGCAGAACCATCTGTTACTGCTCCTGGGTTCCCCCGGTTTGCAGACGCGGCATTTACATTTCAAGAGGAATCTCCGGGAAGGAAGAGGGACGGTCTCTATCTCTCCCCGGAGCAAACACCTTTTTATACAGCCTGGGAGGGGAAGCTCTCCTTTCCTTGAAACCCAACTCCGCGATTGAAAGGAGATAGGCCGCTTCAATAATGCACACGCACAGCGCCACGACTGCTTCGTCCTAAAGCCACGCACTGCCCGTTACGGCTTTCACGTTCTCGAATTGGTAGATCTGGTAAAGCACCCAGAACAATGCCCAACTGTCTATAGGGCCCAATGGGGCTCTGCTTTCTTAAGGAAGCCCTTCTTGTTTTTAAACCTGTGGAACCAGGACAAAAGCTGATATTCTGCACTGCATAATATTTAGCTTGAGATATACCACCACTTAAAAACAGACTGTGACCTGGGCTGAAGAAGATGTTTTAGATCGTAATTTAAGTGGGGGCTAGAGTACTATATACCTAGGTGAAAATTCATGGAGGTGTGCACTTGAGATGTGTGCACTTTCCTATGTGCAAATGATCCCACAATACATTTTTTTAAGTATAGTATGTATGCCCGTGTTACTCACAATTAAGGAAATGGGGAATACACCGCTTGCCTTCAAGAACCGTAGAGTGCTCTGCTCTTACACCCTCCCCTCATCACCATCCACATCCAAAATCTCTCCTGAGAATTTTAAAGTTCAAGAACATGAAAAACACAGCTCTCCAACTCTCAACCAAGCCAGTGACTACAAATGTTTCCTGTATGTCCTGTGAGCCCAAGTATGCAGCACAGAGAAAGCACCTGTCACAGCCCAAGCCGTGCCAGCCACATCTCACAAATAAAAAGCCAAGGTCTTTTTCTCATCTGCTCATTAGCCATCAAATTATGAGAGACACGACTGGGGCTTTTAGCAATAGAGCCTCGAGTTTATTCTTCTGTTTCTTTAATCCTATTTTTAAATAGATCTTTCTAAACTTTGCCTGACACTCTTGCTTGTATGAAGCAGGTTAACCCTGTAAGGTGCAGGCCTGTGGCTGGAGCAATTAGAGCAGCATTAAGTGAGGGTGGTTTCTCCAGGCATCTCAGCAGATTTAAATCTGTACCATCGTAGCTCTGTTACCCCAACAGCAACAAGGGTGTCACTAAGTGACAGGCTGAGTACTAAGAGGCTTCACCATTGCTGGATCATGACTTAGCGGTACATTTCTTCCTTTGAACTACCAGGGAGGGAGAGCTGCCTGTCCCTGAGGAAAAGAGGGTCAAATTCGCCTTCCACTAAGCATCAAGAAAGGCCGCCAGCCGCAAAACAGAGGCTCACTGCACGGATCATAATGGGTCACCTTTCCCCGCTCGCACCCTCCTAGCGTCCTGACCCCCGCAGACACTTCATTTCGGGAGCGCAGGGCCACCAAGCTGCATCTACAGATAAACATCGAGAATCAGGATCGCCCAGCGAGCGCTTCCTGGACTGAGTCGAGAGCTCCAGTGATTTCCCTGGCCTGCCACCGAGTCATTTAAGAAGTGAAATATGCCAACGGGGCCGGGTACCCAGCACCTGGGAGCCCGTCCCACCGCCTCTGCGATGGAGTGGGAGCTGCCAATGGCTGGGCAACGTCTCTGCGGATGGCGCATTCTCAGGTGGGTCTTGCAGGCTCCCCGGCCCTCTGCGCTGTGCCAGCCTCACACCTGACCCGGTGCCAGGAATACAGCCAGAGGCTCCGGTGGGAGCCGGCCCTCTGCGCTTCCGTGGAGACACGCACAACTCCGCCCGGGAAGGGCGGGGAGGGGGAGCCAACGGGTGGAGGTAGGACTGGGAGCAGGACCCCCGACATGCTGCGTCGGCAAGGACTCCAGGGGCTCGCGCATAACGAGGCTTTGCGGCGCTTCTGCTCGCACTGCGCTTCCTTTGGCAGCGCCTGGAAGCGGCAGGAGCTGAGATTTGCGCGGCTGACGGGCAGGAAGGATGGAGGCTCAGGGGACCGCTTCCTGCCCCCCACACGCACAGCTAGACCGCAGTGTCCCCCCTTCGCGCCCACCCTCACCCGAGACGCCAGTGCCAAAGCGTCAGGGGGTCGCAGCTCGCTCGAGGCCCTGACGGGTGCCCCGGAGCAGCTGGCAAAAGAAAGTGGGGGGAGGCGAGGCTGGACCTGTCGTCAGTGTGTGTGCGGGTCGGTGGCTCCGGGCTACCCCTGCAAAGCCCCCCGCCAGCCGCGGGCACCTACCTCGATCCACTTCTGCGCCTCGGAGAAGGCGGGCTCGGGGGGCGGCTCAGGCTGCAGGGGCTGAAGAGCTTCCAGACCGAGAGCGGCACAAGCCATTTGCGAAGCCCCGCGTCTACTCAAGCGCTGGGCCGCCGGGATGAGGACGGCCGCCGCCGCCGCCGCCGACGCCGCAGGAGCGCGCTCCCCGCCCCTTCCCGCCCGCCCGCCCGCTCTCCTCCCCTGCCCGCCCCTCCCCCGCGCGGCGCAGGTCCCGGAGGAGAGCCGCGCTGCAGCCGAGGACGCCGCCGCAGCTGTTCCCAGTGCCGCCCGGCTCGGCCGCGCCGTGAGTCCCCGCGGGAGCGAGCGCGGAGGCGCCAGGAGCTCCCTCCCTCCCCACCTCCTCTGCCCGCTCCACCCACCCCCTCCGGGGCGGGGGTGTCAGCCACCAACTAAAAATAACCGAGAGTGAGCACTGGGTATCTCCCTCCCTGCCCACGACGCGACTGGGAGAGGGACTCGGGCAGCCGCCCCGCACGTCCCCGCGCCGCGCCGGCTGCGGAAGGGCAAGCGGGTCGGGCCGCACGTGGGAGACGCGCGGCGAGCCGGGCGCACGCGTCCCGGGGGAGCCCGCGCTGCCGCAGCCTAGCAGTGGCCGCCCGCACCTGCTGTCCCCCACTCACGGCCGCAGAAGTGGGGGGCAAGAGGCGCAGCCCTCTGACCCGATGCCAGGGATGTTCAGTCACCTGATCTTTTTGTAAGAAAAAAAAAGAAAGATAAACGACCCTTATAAACTTTTTTCTCTGCGGGCAAGCTACCTATGTCCCAGTGTGTTGATTGATTTAACTCATCTTTATTGTGCACCTACTATGCGCTGGGGACACAGAGATGAAAAAAGGGAAGGGAAGGGAAGGGGAGGGAAGAACTGGAAGATCCAGCCCTCAAAATAATTACATTCTAGAGGGAATGGGGTAAAACAAAAGAAGGTAATGGTGGAGAGTGATATATGCTAAGAAGATAAGAGAAAAGATCGGCTATGACCTGGGAAGAGAGTATTGGCTAACTTCGGACTGCCTCTCCACCTTCACCTGGGAGGCTGGCCTGTGAGTCCAGTTTCTGGTGATGGGAGGGAGGCAGGAGGTCATTAGGATGGAGGAGAGGGAAGTGGGGGTATTTTTGCTGCCTCTTCTGCAAAAGGCTGGGGGATTGGCGGCACCACTCCGCCAAGGCTGCCACTCTGTCTGGGGCCTCTCCTTGGGTTCTCTGAAGGTTCCCGGTCTCCTCTTGTGCCACCCCACTTCCCCAGGCCCAGTGGGTGTAAAGCCTTCCCCATCCTATTCTGGTTTCTGGCCTGCACACTCCCTGCTGATGGTGTCTTAATAAACTCTTCTCAGCCACCTTTACGTGAGCACGCCTGCTGTTTTGCCTGAGAGCCCAAATGACGATCAAGGAAGGTTTTCCTGACAAGATGACGTGATGAGGTGACATGAATGAGGAAGATGTTAATCATGCAAAAATCTGGAGAAACATTTCCAGATGGGTGCAAAGGCCTCGAGGTAGAAGTAAGCTTGGTAGGGTTCATGGAACCCACAGAAAGCCAGCGTTACTGGAGTGTGGTGAGCAAAGAATCAGGTGGGAATGATAGCATGGGAGAGATAGGCGAGATGGGGGGTGCCAGACCACAGTGGGCAGGGCAAGAAGTCCATGGGTGCCTCAGCAGCAAAGTCTCTTTCCTGTTCAGAGTCCAAGTTTAGCCTTTGTCTAATTCTGCTGCTATAATGGGAGAATGGAACAAAAAGCAGGCCTGAAATTCCACTATTACTGGCTTTGGAGTCAGACAGGCTTTAGTTTATTTACTTTTAAAACACTTACATGGCACTTGAATTGTGCCAGGCACTGTTTTAAGTGCATTACAAATAATTGACTAACTCATTCCCTATTTCAACCCTGTAAGGTACACTATTACCATGCCTGTGAAAAAACCAGGGGACTGAGAGGGGTGTCACACAGCTGGTGAGCAGTGAAACCCTGATTCAAGCCCAGACAGCCTGGCGCCAGATCTACTCTTAACCGCACACCAAGCTGTCTTACTAGTCCCAGTCCAGACTCTGCCGCTTACAGTATGTGCCTCAGTTTCCTCATCTCAAATGAGGTTGAAATGGCAACATTTTAGCAAATCACTGTGAGGAACAAACAGGATCTCTGAATGTGAAAGGACCAAAACTGGGCCTGGCATATAATTACTGCTCAGTACAAGCCAGCTGAGCTTCCCTTCCGTCCTGCCTTCCAGAAAGGACGAGAGGGAGAAGTTATAAAGAAGAGTGAAGAAGGCAAGCAGAGGAAAAGGGTTAGTAAAGTATAGTCAGAAGATGACCTTGTCTCCATGAAGAAACATGGTAAAGTAAAATAATTCACAAAATGATGCAGCACACTGACACGAGATGCCACTTTGGGCCGATTCCACTGCATGCGGTGACTAGGAGAGTAGGGGAAGCCTGCTGACCCAAATGACATATCTGCATCCATTTGAAAACGAGTATAAAAGTTAAATCCACCATATGTCTGAAGTATCTGCTATCAAAATTGGCATTCGTACTAAAGCATATTTTTTTCTTTCAGTACTTTTTAAGTGTTTTAAGGTTTATAATCACAAGGTGACATCTGCTTTGCCTGAACTCTGCTACCAATAACAAATTCACATGTTACCGAAGACCTAAAGACTTAAATCCATAATAGCGTTCAAACCTAGCGTCATTATCAATAATATTTACAAATCATTGTTAAGCACCTACTGTGTGTAAGAGATTGTACTAGCATCAGAAGAATCCACAAAGGGACACACAGAATTTTCATTTCCGTATAGTCTAGTTTTCATCTATAAAAGTAATGCCTGTTGGAAAAAATCTGAAAAATATAATGAAGAAAACTAATCCGGAAGAAACCCTACAAGTTCAGAGATCATCATCACTATTTGGGAGGTGTGAAACAACATTTTGATTAGGAAAAAAAGTATAAGACAATATATGGTAAATGCCAAATGAGGGATATAATGTATTCAAAGAGCATGGATTTTTTGGTAACAGACTTCTTAAGATATCATTCACATACCATACAATCCACCCGCTTAGACTGTATAGTTCAGTGTTTTTTAGTTTATTCAGAGTTGTGCAACCATCACCACATTAATTTTGGAACATTTTAATCCCTCCAAAAAGGAAACCTCATACCCTGTAGCTGTTATCCCCCTAACCTCGCATGCCCCCAAGCCCTGGCAACCACTCATCTACTTTCTGTCTCTATAAATTTAAGTATTCTGGACATTTCATATAAATGAGATCGTACAAGGTGTGGTCCTTTGTGTGTGGCTTCTCTCACTTGGCAGAATGTTTTCAAGGTTCATCCATGCTGCAGCATGTATCAGTACTTCGTTCCTTTTTATGGACAAATAACGTGCCACTGTATGGCTATACCATATTTTGTATATCATTCATCAGTTGATAGGGCCTTGGGTTGTTTCCACTTTTTGGTTATTATGAATAATGCTTCTCTAAACGTTCATGTACAAGTTTCTGTGTGGCCATATGTTTTGGTTTCTCTTGGGCATATGCCAAGAAGTAGAATTGCTGGGTTATTTGATAACTCTCTGTTTAAATTTTTTGATAAACTACCAACCGTTTTCCAAAGTATTGATAGCTACACCATCTTACATTCCCACCAACAATGTAAAGGGTTTCCAGTTTCTCCACCTCCTTGCTAACACTTGTCACTTTCCAACTTTTTGATTACAGATGTCCTAGAAGGTGTGAGGTGGTATCTCCTTGTGGTTTTAATTTGCATTTCTCTGATGACTAATGATGTTAAGCATCTCTTCATGTACATAATGGCCATTTGGACGTCTTCTTGGGAGAAATGTCTATTCAGATTTTTGTCCGTTTTTAAATTGTCGTTTCTCTTTTTACTATTGAGTTATGAATTCTTTATATAGTCTAGGTAGGAGTCACTTATCAGATATATGATTTGCAAATATTTTCTCCATTCTGTGGGTTAACGTTTCACTTTCTTGAACCTGTCCTTTGAAACACAGAAGTTTTTAATTTTGACAAAGTCTAATGAATCTGTTTTTTTCTTTTGTTGTTTGTGCTTTTAGTGTCATATCTAAGGAGGCGTTGCCTGATCCAAGGTCGTGAAGATTTATGCCTGTGTTTTCTTCTAAGTTTTATAGTTGTCATTCTTACATTTAGATACTTAATCCGTATTTAGTTATTTTTGTAAAAGCATGGGTTTTGAGGTCAAACTTAGTGTGACAGTCTGGGTCTTCTGAGAAACAGACACCAAGATGGAATTAAAGGTGCAAGGATTTTATTAGGGAAATGACTGTGAGAGAAAATGCTGGGAAAGCAATCAGAGCACAATGCAAGTCTGACCTGAGTGAAGAGAGGAAAAGGAAGGTCAGGTAGAAACCTTGTTGTAGGCTGCCTTTCAGTCCAAGGAAGGTTCAGCGAGGCCATCAGAAGGTCCGTGAACCAAAGTCAGCTACCAGAAGAGTCCTGGGTCTCCTAGAAACAAGCTTGCCTTAGTATTCCTGCTGTATCCCTGCCGTATTTAGTAACTGGCTGGGGGCAGCCCAGTGGGAAATGCTGTTCAATGCAAACATGGCAATGGATTTCAGAGCACAACTGCTGGGGCCCTTGGTCAGTTCAGCTCCCTGAAGGGCGCATTTCATAGATGCCACATGTTACGTAAGTGAAAATGTTATTTAACCTCTCTGAGTCTCCGTTTTCTTGATTAAGCACCTGTTTCCTTGCCTGGGACTTAGAAATCAGGGGGTAATAATAGTTTTGATGATATTATGTATATTTAAATATATATCTATTAATATATAAAATGCAATAAATCAATTGGACAAAGACTAAATTTCATTGTGTGTAATACTTTGAAGAATTATGGTTGGTGGTAAATAAATGTACTAAACTTCTCATCCTCCAAGATCTGACATAAATGTCACCTTTTTGATGACTTCGCTAGCAACCATGTCAAAACTAGTCATCTCTTCTTCTGTGTTCCCATAAAGTAGTGATTCTCAACGTAACAAAGTAGGTATGAGAATCTTTAGGAAGGGTTTTGAAAAATAGTCCAAATTCATCATTGTTTGATTTTAAAGCCATTTAAAAATAACGT